AACTGTCGACAAGAGAGTTCCGGCGGATTGGAGGAAGAGAGTGGCGGCGATTAGAGTCAAAATCTCAAAGGAATTTTCGTCTTTGCATAAAGACATCGACCCGTATGTTCAAACCCTAGATCCTGAAGGTAACGTTGTCCGAAAACTGAGATTTGGGTCCGATCCCTGATCACCCGGTGATAACTGAACAGAACTTTTACAGCCCTTATGCGCATTCTTTCTTCTGAACCAGAAATGGGTAGTGGAAATTGTGAATTGTTCTTCCGTTTCGCGACTCTGTTTTGTTTTTTGGCTCTTTGATTCCTAGTTAAAATGAAACGGTTCGTCACTAAACGGTGTTTTGGGGGAAGATCGCGGTTGAAGATACTATTGCTTTGTATAAAGTTTGTGCCTTTGGATTGTTATGGGAAAAAAGTTCGCGTCTTTGCTGGGTTCTTGATTTTCTTAGGGATACATTAGCATCCTTCATCCTTGTTCGTTATTGTCTTAGAAATAGAATTTGGATAATTTCGTATTCGTTATAACTTGTGAGGAGTTTAGTTGAGTCTTGTCTGAAGCTGTAAAGGAGGGCCTGTGTATTCTTCTTGGTTTTTCGGGTGTTTGTTCTTATTGCTCAGTTTTTCCCGTGAGTTATGCCCGGCTTTCACAATGATTGGTATATTGCGTTTCAGGGATTGGTTACTTGGAGGCAAAAAAGATATACGAGATTCTCCTGAAGACCACTCCAGAAAGTCGGAACTTATTTGGTCGGCTTTCGGGTGCTTCTGTAAGGCCATACCTACTTCTGTTTTCCATTGCTTATCGTGGATATGCTTGTGCTCGTCATGTGGGTAATGCCCTTGCTAGGGTGCTTGGGAAGCAATTGTCCGTGCGTTTGAGAAGGATCATATCTTTCTCGGAGAGGCAGCTCAGATTATAATTCAGAATGTCAACTATGAAATGTAAGTTTGTTCTTGCATGTCATCATATGATTCACGATAGAGTATAGCAAGAATGACTACTTTGACATCATTGATGATTTTCTTGTTGCAAATATGAAGCCCATATCTGAAGAAACAAGTGCAAAAGATTCAGACACAATTCGCGGAACTTGAGCGCAAAGAAGCTGATATCAAAAGGAGTGCGGCTTTGTCAGCTACCAAGTATGAGGAAGCTTGCCGAGAGCTTGGATTGCAGGTTCAATTGGCATCTCGACTTGGTTTATTTACGTTCTTTGGTATCTTTTGTGTTAACATTTTACATTTTCAGGGAACAAATGTGAGGCGCGGACTTTTGGAGACAGCAAATTCACTTCCAAGTACATTTGGCAAGATTCTTGAAGTTATCAACAGTGACTCAATGTCACAGGCAATGGAGTACTACTCTACCTTTGTTAGAGATGTTCATACAGAAAAGGATGTAAGGATTCAACTTCTCATTTTCTGAAAATCTCTCGTCTTTAATCTGTTCTTTGATAAACTTCTTTCCATTGCTGATTCACCATTGCCCCTTATGTGATTGCAGAAACAGCCGAGGGTTGTCTTACAAAACTTGAAAGACATTCGCGAAAAGCCTCCATCACTTAATGTTCTTGTTGCTACAGAAGTGTTTGATGCCGAGAATATACTGTCGAGCACAAATGCAAACGGGAGTACGGATGTCACTGTTGACAGCATCGATTGGGATATTACCGTAGACAGTGCTCAGATAGATTGGGATATTGGTACGGTAGAAGAAGTTGATGAATCTGGAAATGATCTAGGTTCATACGAAGTCGTAAATGCCAGTGATATTCCCGAGAATTCTCCAAAAGGACTTTCTGCTTCCGAGACAGCCGCTTTTGATAAAGGAGAACAAGGCCAAGGCACTGAGGCTACTGTTTCCGGGATTTCATGGGACATAAGCGTCGAAACACCTCAGGTTGAAGTAATAGATGATCCGGGTTTACCAGGATCGGGCCTGCAAATTCAGACACATGTTATGGATACCACAACTCAAATCTCGACAGAGAGAAGCCAGTTGCTGGATACAGAGTATAGGAACAAGATTCTTGATGATTTGTATGAGGTATTGTTAAAGTCCTTTGTAGTTGTTTTTGCTATATGATGGTTTGATCCCGGTGATAACTCCTTTCTTCCGGTGTCAGATCAAAGCGTTCTTGAATCAGCGGCTGGTAGAACTGAGGAATGAAGATACTCTGTCACTGCAACACCATGTTCAAGCAGTTGCCCCCATGGTTCTTCAGCAGTATTCTCCCGATGCCATCGAGCCAATACTGGCAGATATCTCAATGGCCATTTCCTTGCTGACAAATAGGAAGACCCGAGATCTGATCATGATTCTCAACTCCAAAAGGTTCTTTCCTGAGAAAACCTTGAGTGTTTGCAAGGTCAGACAGTTGGTGCCATCTCCTCTGATGTTCTGTCTTTTCCTGTTCAGATTTCTAGATAGGCTTGTCTCTGAATTGGAGGAAAAGAAGAACCGTGAAGTGAAGTTGAGAGAGAGCTTGAAGGATGTGGCTGCCAAACGTATGGAGCTTCAGAACTCGCTCTCTTCTATATGGCCGAAGCAGGTATCATAATAAGTTTAATAAGTTTACTCCCCCTTCCCATTAATGGTGCCAGATCTGTATGTTTTACCATTGACATTTGCAATAAAAGGACAAAAAAACCAATCTTTTTTTTTTTCCTGTCGGAGCAGGAAGCTGCCCTAACAAAGACGAGGGAGCTGAAGGAGCTATGCGAGAAGACTCTCTCCTCCATATTTGATGGAAGACCTGTTAACATAAGAGGAGAGATCAATACATTGTTGAACAGTGGGCTCAATACCTAGGCATTATTAGATAGTAACACAGCTTCAACACCTTGGCCTTGAGGCTGTTATTTTTTTCCTTCCCTTAAAGTAAACTTTTTTTTTTTTTTTATTAAACATCAATCTTGTGGACTTCTGACATCATTAGTCTTTCAATACTAATAAACCGGGCATTTTTTTTTTTTATCACCGCATGACAAGAATGTTTTCCATGAAAGTGTTTTTGAATGGGGTATTTTCTTTTTACAGACAAGGTAAGGTTCCATGAAAGTGGCTTATAAACCTCAATGCTGCAGAAACCTAAAAGTGTCACAGTTTTGATGCTGTCTGAAGCGCTTCAATGAAGCACTTCCTCATTTAAAGACAGCAATGACATTGGCATGTTCTTCACAGCAGAGAACTGTTGCCAAAAATAAAAATGGAAAAAGAATTATGAACAGTCACATATCAGCTTTTCTACAGATATTTGTTTCCCAGTTCAAAGGTTCTGAAAAGAAAATCAAATTGACGACTTACTTGACCGTTTAGCAATTTCGTTCTGTATATTGAACCAAGAGGACCCCCTCTGCAAGTAGATTTTCCTCACTGAAACTGTTCGAGGGCTAATTGAAGTTCTGCAACTGAGAACTGCTTTAGTTTATGCAGGAAATAGGCTAAATCCATGAGAGAAGCTTTTACGTCTGGATGTTCTCTTGATTCTGATTGGTATCCTCATGATGTTCATCTACTCGAGATTGAATCCGTTTCTTCAAATCCGCCCAATGTTTAGGCCCTTCTGGGTGTCGGTTCACGAATCTCTTCACGAAATATTTCCTCGGGCTACCGAGTATGGTTCCCATGGTGAACTTCAGGTCCGCCTTTTCTTTTTCTTTGACCCAAGCGTACATGGAGAATCTGAGCTTGATCAGCTCGAGGCTCATAGCAAGATATGCCGGGAAATCCACCAGAGAAGACAGCGGATAACCTAGTTCCTTCACGAGGTAATCCACCTTTGCCTGGATGATGTCAGTCCCTCGGTTGAGAATCTGAGGTCGTGCTTTAACCATTTTCCTGACATCCTTCTCGTTCAGACCCAAACTCACGATGAAATCATATCGCTTTCGGAGTTCAGATCCCTTGCAACGGAAGTCCTTGAATGCTCTGTCTATGTCTTTCAAGTCCTCTACGTATTGGATGCCCAATAAGAACTGAATCTTCATCTTTTCCGACTTGATCTTCTCCTCGGAGCGAGGTAGCCGCTGGATTTCTGACAGCAGAGTCCATTTCTTCATTTCCTCTGGGTTTTCTAGGATAACTTGACAAATTCGTCTTTTTCCCGCATTCAAGTTATTGATCAGGGTCAGACAACTCTTCAAAATGCAGGTACCAAGCCACCAGGAGTGGGTATGAAAAATCTTACCGATTTGACCAGGCTTCATCTCAAGCTCGTTTAGTAACAGAAAGCAACCCCTTAGATTTGAAACGAATTTCCCTACCTCAATCTGGGGCAGTGTCTGAAATAAAGATTGAATCTCAGTTTTAGATGACCCAAGTTTGGTCTGAAACCCCACCAGTATCAGTGTCCAATCACCTGAACTCTCAAAAATGAGTCTTGGATGCTTCCTGATTAACCCACATAGCTCATCTTTGTCGAAACCGATCTCTCTAAGCAAGTTCATAGTTCGAAGCACGATACTCCAATCATAAGGTTCATCCTCCAACAATCTCTCCTCTAACCAATTGTCGTCAAACCCAATGGATTTCAGAATCTCTATAACATTAGCAAGTTCTACATTCCTATCCCCGATCAAGACACTCGGACTACAGACCATAAGTTTGGATACACATGTTTTGCTAAGCCCCAGATCCTCATAAGCTCCAATCTTAGATGCTAAAGCCCCGTTTTTGTACCCAAAAATTTCGGTAGCTTCCTTGTAAATCTTCCCGATCTTCTCGTGGGCAATCCCATAGTTATACAAAATATGGTAATTCTCTAACATGAGATAATCTTCATCCAAGAACATCTTATCACCGGGAAGCAGATTGCGGTATTCAGTCTGCTTCAAACCTAAGCTCTCAAAGAATATCACGAACTCGTTCATCGGGTGAAACAACAAGTATTCGGAGATGGATTTCCCAATATCAGCACGAGCATTGAGCTTCTTCAGAGGATTCTCAAGAAATGCAGGAGCGGTTCTGCTCATACACTCAGCAACTAGAAACGGAAAACCCTTAGTGACATAAAAGTAATCAAAGAAGGCAGCCTCGGCTTTTTTACGAACAGAGGGCCTAATTCGGATACCATTAACAATCTCTCCGGATTCAGAGAATCTCCTAGTGGCGAAAAACCTAGGGTTTTGAGCAATACACCTAAACCCAGATCCTGAAACTAGGGTTTTATAGGGTTTAAGCTCGTTTTCCGCAGATGTTCCAGAAACCCATTTGAGAAGAGACGTCACTCTAGGGTTTCGCATAATCCTGCTTCCGCAGTGCCGGAACATACGGATACATGTACATATATGAGTGCGTTCAGTTGGGCAGATGAAGAGGAACCATCAGAGAGTTATCTGGCTAAGATTGTGACTTTACCTGTAATTTTAAAAGGGTTCTGTCTGATTTCATTCTCTACTTTCTCTGCAGCTCAAGCTTCCGATGCCTTTTTTGTTGCAGACATTGGTCAAGCCCGTGGCTTCTGGGTTTCGTTCACCCGTGGTTTTTACTCATTCGCGTTCTCAGTTAAAATCCCAAGTGTGGAATTTGAATCATTTTTCGGGTTCAATGTGTAATTTACTTTATTTTATCCCCATATATATAAATTTGGAAAAAGAATTTTATGAAAGCGATTGAATTTGTCAATGAATGACTAAAGTGATCGATACAAATTATTATTATTATGAGATTGGCCGGTGAGTTTTACCCTATGTTCTCTCCCCCTTGAAATTGTTCTATTTTTGTTTTACCTCGGAAACTTGGCGCACCAGTTAAGGTGTTGCCGTTGTGACTTTGAGGTCACGATTTCGAGTCCTGAAAACAGTCTCTTTGCATATATTTCTGCAAGATAAGGTTTGTTTATAATACCACCTTGAGGTGAGAATCTCGGATCTCCTCTTAACAGGGAGGCTTTGTGCATAAGACTATCTTTTTTTTTAATTTCCATAAAATGGTTATTATATATCTTTGTAGAAATTCCAATTTTGCTTGATTATTATTATATTTTTCAGTTTTATTTAATTTATTGCTCCCTTGAAACTCCAAGTGGCAAAATAATCCGACAGAGATTTTTCTCTCTACTCATATTAATCACACAACGATATTTTTTTATCAATGTACTTATAATTTTAATGAGATTTTTCTAGAATATGATTTTTTATATAAATGTGAATTTTCTATATAACCAAAAGTTTTTGTACAAAATCTGTATTTGTAAAAAAAAAAGTAAAAAAGGACGAGTTTGTCATGAAAAATACTCCACTAGTACTAAAAGAGATAATTAAAAATTTTTAATATAATACAAAAATCAAAACAAAATAAAAAAAAATATAAAAAAAGATAAAAAAAATTCACAATAATTTTTCAAAATGTATGTTTTCATTATTTTATGATTTGTTTCTTAAAAAAAGTTATTAAGTACAATCAGTTCCATTATACGCCCAATATCGTTTATAAACGTCAAAACATCTAAGGATGAAGTAATAGATGATCCGCGTTTACCACAAATTCAGACACATATTATGGATGCCACAACAAGAGCCGTCTCATAGATATGAGAAGCTATGTTCAATTATATATTTATATTTTTTTTATCTAATTAATATTTATAATTTTTAAATATATTAATTAATAGATAAAATTTCAAATTATACAAAAAAAAATAGAAAAATATATTATTTATAAAAATATTTTTTTAAAATATATAAATTATTACTTTTATTTTAAAAAGTAATACAAGTTAAAATCAAGTTTATTGTTATGAAACTTTTGATCAAAAAAAATTGTTCTACTAATTTGTTTATTTTTAAAGATATATAGTGATTAAAAAATTATGAACTAAAAAATATAATTGCTATAATATAAAAGAATATTACAATATAACAAGATTTAATCTTTTTAATTTATGATAGTTTTTTAGTTTTATTAAAAATCTTATTAAATTTAAAAAAAAAAGTGGGGTCCCATTAAATTTGGGGGCCATGTGCAAAAGCTCCAATTGCACCCCTTCACAGACGGCCGTAGCCACAACTCAAATCCCGACAGGGGAACCAGTTGCTGGACACAGTACAGAAAAGATTCTTGATGATTGGTACGAGGTATTGTTGAATTTCCTTCCTTGTAGTTGTCTTTGCTATGTGATGGCTTGACCCCGGTGGTAACACCATTTTCAAGCAGTTGTCCCCATGGTTCTTCACCAGTATTCTCCTGATCCCATCGAGCCAATGCTGGCAGCTATCCCGATGGCCATTTCCTTGCTGACAAATCGGAAAACCCGAGATCTGATCATGATTCTCCTGTTAATGGTGTCGAGATCTGATCAGAATTCGCTCTCTTCTATATGGCCGAAGCAGGCATCATAATAAGTTTACCCCCCCTTGCGTTAATGGTGCCGGATCTGTATGTTTTATCATTGACATTTGCAATGAAAGGACAAACAAAAACAATCTTCTTTTTTTGGTCTAAGAGCAGGAAGCTGCCCTTACGAAGACGAGGGAGCCGAAGGAGCTATGTAAGAAGACTCTCTCCTCCATATTTGATCGAAGACCTGTCAACATAAGAGGAGAGATCAGTACGTTGTTGAACAGTGGGCTCAATACTTAGGCGTTATTCGATAGTAGTAACACAGCTTCCACACCTTGACCATGTGCCTGTTCTTTTTTCCATGTGTTTTTGAATAGGACAGTTTTCTCTTTACATACAAAAAGATGTTGCAGGTTCCATGAATGTGGCTTGTTAACCTCAATGCTGCACAAACCTAAAAGAGTTACAGTTTTGATGCTGTCTGAAGCACTTCGATGAATTGTCCCTCATTCAAAGATAGCAATGCCATTGGCATGTTCTTCAAAAGCAGGAAACTGTTGCCAAAAATGAAAGTGCAAAAAGAATTATGAACAATCACAAATCAGCTTTTCTACAGATAATTGTTTCCCAGTTCAAAGTTTCTGAAAAGAAAAGAAAAAAATTGACGACTTACTTGAGCATTTAGCAATTTTGCTCTGTATATTGAACCAAGAGGACCCCTCTGCAGGTAGATTTTCCACACTGAAACTGTTCGTGGGTTAATTGAAGTTCAGCAACTGAGAAGTGCCTTAGTTTATGCAGGAAATAGGCCAAATCCACGAGAGAAGCTTTTACGTCTGGAAGTTCTCTTGATTCTGATTGGTATCCTCATGATGTTCATCTACTCGAGATCGAATCCGTTTGTTCAAATCTGCCCAATGTTTAGGCCCTTCTGGGTGTCGGGTCACGAATCTCTTCACAAAATATTTCTCCGAGCTACCGAGTATGGTGCCAATGGTGAACTTCAGGTCCACCTTTTCTTTGCCTTTGAGCCAAGAGTACATGGAGAATCTGAGCTTGATTAGCTCGAGGCTCATTACAAGATAATACGGGAAATCCATCAGAGAAGACAGCGGATAACCTAGTTCCTTCACGAGGTAATCCACCTTTGCCTGGATGATGTCAGTCCCTCGGTTGAGAATCTGAGGTCGTGCTTTAACCATTTTTCTGACATCCTTCTCGTTCAGACCCAAACTCACGATGAAATCATATCGCTTTCGGAGTTCAGATCCCTTGCAACAGAATTTCTTGAATGCTCTGTCCATGTCTTTCAAGTCCTCTACGTATCGGATGTCCAATAAGAACTGAATCTTCATCTTTTCTGACTTAACCTTCTCCTCGGAGCGAGGTAGCTGCTGGAGTTTTGACCGCAGAGCCCATTTCTTCATTTCCTCCGGGTTTTCAAGGATAATTTGACAAATTCGTCTTTTTCCTGCATTCATGTTATTGATCAATGTCTGACTGCTCTTCAAAATGCAGGTACCAAGCCACCAGGAGTGAGTACGAAAAATCTTACCGATCTGACCAGGCTTCATCTCAAGCTCGTTTAGTAACAGAAAGCAACCCCTTAGATTTGAAACGAATTTTCCTACCTCAATCTGGGGCAGTGTCTGAAATAAAGATTGGATCTCAGTTTTAGATGACCCGAGTTTGGTCTGAAACCCTACCAGTATCAGTGTCCAATCACCTGAACTCTCAAAAATGAGTCTTGGATGCTTCCTGATTAACCCAAACAGCTCATCTTTGTCGAAACCGATCTCTCTAAGCAAGTTCATAGTTCGGAGCACGATACTCCAATCATATGATTCATCCTCCAACAAGCTCTCCTCTAACCAACTGTCGTCAAACCCAACGGATTTCAGAATCTCTAAAACATTAGCAAGTTCTACATTCCTATCCCCGATCAAGACACTCGGACTACAGACGATAAGTTTGGATACACATGTTTTGCTAAGCCCCAGATCCTCATAAGCTCCAATCTTAGATGCTAAAGCCCCGTTCTTGTACCCGAAAACTTCGGTAGCTTCCATGTAAATCTTCCCGATCTTCTCGTGGGCAATCCCGTAGTTATACAAAATATGGTAATTCTCTAACATTAGATAATCTTCATTCAAGAACATCTTATCACCGGGAAGCAGATTGCGGTATTCAGTCTGCTTCAAACCTAAGCTCTCAAAGAATATCTCGAACTCGTTTATCGGGTGAAACAACAAGTATCCGGAGATGGATTTCGCAATATCAGCACGAGCATTGAGCTTCTTCAGAGGATTCTCAAGAAATGCAGGAGCGGTTCTGCTCATACACTCAGCAACTAGAAACGGAAAAGCCTTGGTGACATAAAAGTAATCAAAGAAGGCAGCCTCGGCTTTTTTACGAACAGAGGGCCTAATTCGGATACCATTAACAATCTCTCCGGATTCAGAGAATCTCCTAGTGGCGAAAAACCTAGGGTTTTGAGCAGTATACCTAAACCCAGATCCTGAAACTAGGGTTTTATAGGGTTTAAGCTCGTTTTCCGCAGAAGTTCTCGAAACCCATTTGAGAAGAGACGTGAATCTAGGGTTTCGCATAATCCTTCTTCCGCAGTGCCGGAACACACGGATACATACATGTACATATATGCGTGCAAACGGGGAGTTATCTGGCTAAGATTGTGGCTTTACCTGTGATTTTAATGGGTTCTGTCTGATTTCATTCTCTATTTTCTCTGCAGCTCAAGCTCCAGCTTCCGATGTTTTTTGTGTTGCAGACATTGGTTAAAGTCCGAGGTTTGTGTTTCATTGAAACAGGGTTTTTACTCGGTCGCGCTCGGACTTTAAAAACCCCAAGTGTGGAATTTGAATCACTTTTTCGAGTTCGATGTTTAATTTATTTTATGTTATCCCGATATATATAAATTAGGAAATTGTAGGGGGAAAAAAAGAATTTGGTTGAAGCGTTTGAATTTATCTTTGAATGACTCAAGCGATCGATTGTGTCTGCGATCGGCTTGTAATTTTTACCATATATTCTCTCTCCCTTAAAATTCCAATTTGGCTTTGATTATACATATATATATATATCCGTTTAAATATGTAAAATTTTACGGAAAATTTGGAAATTTTGATAATGATTATATGTAAATATGTTATAATTTTCAATGTTGATTTGTATATGTAAAAGACAAATAAAGTTGATATATTAAAGTATGTTAAAACTAAATTATGTACTAATTGAGTAGAAACTAAATTAAAGCATGTTTATTGCTCAGTTTTTCACCTGCGTTATGCCTGGGATTTTTTTAATGACGCCAATCGCCATTTCCCTGGAGAATGAACTGACTCGTAAGTTCCTTACGTGATTGCAGAAACCACCGAGGGTTGTCTTACAAAACTTGAAAGACATTCGCGAAAACCCTCCATCGCTAAATGTTCTTGTGGCTACAGAAGTGTTTCATGGAACATAAGCATCGAAACACCTCAGGTTGAAGTAATAGATGATCCGGGTTTACCAGGACCGGACCTGCAAATTCGGACACATGTGATGGATGCCACAACTCAAATCCAGACAGAGAGGAGCCAGTTGCTGGATACAGAGTATAGGAACAAGATTCTTGATGATTTGCATGAGGTATTGTTGAATTTCCTTCCTTGTAGTTGTTTTTGCTATGGATGGCTTGATCCCGGTGATAACTCCTTTTGTCGGGTGTCAGATCAAAGCATTTTTGAACCAGCGACTGGTAGAACTGAGCAATGAAGATACTAAGCAGTTGCCCCCGTGGTTCTTCAGCAGTATTCTCCCAGTGCTGGCGGATATCTCGATGACCATTTCATTCCTGACAAATAGGAAAACCCGAGATCTGATCATGATTCTCAACTCCAAAAGACCTGTTAACATAAGAGATCAATATATTGTTGAACAGTGCGGTCTCTGCTTAGGCATTATTAGATAGTAACACAGTTTCAACACTTTTGACCTTGTGCCTGCTCTTTTTTCCTTCCCTTAAAGTTCACCTTTGTTTTTTTAATGAAACATCAATCTTGTGAACTTCTGACATCATTAGTCTTTCAATACTAATAAACCGGGCATTTTGTGTTCATCCCATGACAAGAATGTTTCCCTATGTGTTTTGGTTAGGATAGTTTATGTTTACAGACAAAAAGATGTTGCAGGTTCCATGTAAGTGGCTTGTAAACCTCAATGCAGCAGAAACCCAACAGCGTTGCAATGTTTTGGGTGTCACAGTTTTGATGCTGTCTGAAGCACTTCAATGAGTTGTTCCTCATTATTAGCATGTTGTTCACAGCAGTGAACTGTTGCCAAAAATGAAAATGGAAAAAGAATTATGAACAATCACATATCAGCTTTTCTACAGATATTTGTTTCCCAGTTCAAAGTTTCTGAAAAGGAAAAAAAAATTGACCACTTACTTGACCGTTTAGCAACTTTGTTCTGTAAACAGAACCAAGAGGACCCCTCTGCAAGTAGGTTTTCCTCACTGAAACTGTTTGAGGGTTAATTGAAGTTCTGCAACTGAGACCTGCCTTAGTATATGCAGGAAATAGGCCAAATCCATGAGAGAAGCTTTTACTTCTGGATGTTCTCTTGATTCTGATTGGTATCCTCATGATGTTCATCTACTCGAGATTGAATCCGCTTCTTCAAATCCGCCCATTTTTTAGGCCCTTCTGGGTGTCGGGTCACGAATCTCTTCACAAAAATTTTCTCCGAGCAACCGAGTATGGTGCCCATGGCTAACTTCAGGTCCGCCTTTCCTTTGTCTTTGAGCCAAGAGTACATGGAGAATCTGAGCTTGATCAGCTCGAGGCTCATAACAAGATATGACGGGAAATCCACCAGAGAAGACAGCGGATAACCTAGTTCCTTCACGAGGTAATCCACCTTTGCCTGGACGAAGTCAGTCCCTCGGTTGAGAATCTGAGGTCGTGTTTTAACCATTTTTCTGACATCCTTCTCGTTCAGACCCAAACTCATGATGAAATCATACCGCTTTCGGAGTTCTGATCCCCTGCCCCAGAATTTCTTGAATGCTCTGTCCATGTCTTTCAAGTCCTCTACGTATCGGATGTCCAATAAGAACTGAATCTTCATCATTTTCGACTTGATCTTCTCCTCGGGGCAAGGTAGCCGCTGGAGTTTTGACCGCAGAGTCCATTTCTTCATTTCCTCCGGGTTTTGTAGGATAATTTGACAAATTCGTCTTTTTCCCGCATTCAAGTTACTGATCAAGGTCTGACTTCTCTTCAAAATGCAGGTACCAAGCCACCAGGAGTGAGTACGAAAAATCTTACAGATCTCATCGGTCTTCATCTCAATCTCGCTTAGTAACAGAAAGCAACGCCTTAGATTTGAAACGAATTTCCCTACCTCAATCTGGGACAGAGTCTGAAAGAAAGATTGAATCTCAGTTTTAGATGACCCGAGTTTGGTCTGAAACCCTACCAGTATCAGTGTCCAATCACCTGAACTCTCAAAAACGAGTCTTGGATGCTTCCTGATTAACCCACACAGCTCATCTTTGTCGAAACCGATATCTCTAAGCAAGTTTATAGTCCGAAGCATGATACACCAATCATATGATTCATCCTCCAACAAGCTCTCCTCTAACCAACTGTCGTCAAACCCGACGGATTTCAGAATCTCTAAAACATTAGCAAGTTCTACACTCCTATCCCCGATCAAGATCCTTGGACTACACATGATAAGTTTGGATACACATGTTTTGCTAAGCCCCAGATCCTCATAAGCTCCAATCTTAGATGCTAAAGCTCCGTTCTTGTACCCGAAAACTTCGGTAGCTTCCTTGTAAATCTTCCCGATCTTCTCGTGGGCAATCCCATAGTTACACAAAATATGGTGATTCTCTAACAATAGATCATCTTCATTCAAGAGAATGTTATCACCGGGAAGCAGATTGTGGTACTCAGACTGCTTCAAGCCTAAGCTCTCAAAGAAAGGCTCGAACTCGTTTATCGGGTGAAACCACAAGTATCTGGAGATGGATTTCGCAATATCAGCTATATCAGCACCAGCATTGATCTTCTTCAGAGGATTCTCTAGAAATGCAGGAGCGGTTTTGCTCATACTCTCAGCAACCATAAGCGGAAAACCCCTAGTGACATAGAAGTAATCTAACAAGGCAGCCTCGGCTTTTTTACGAACAGAGGGCTTAATTCGGATACCACTATCAATCTCTCCGGATTCAGAGGCTCTCCTAGTGGCGAAAAACCTAGGGTTTTGAGCAACACAGCGAAACCCAGATCCTGAATCTAGGGTTTTATGGGGTTTAAGCTGGTTTTCCGCAGAAATTCTCGAAACCCATTTGAGAAGAGACGTCAATCTAGGGTTTCGCATAATCCTTCTTCCGCGGTGCCGGAAGACACAGATACATACATGTACATATATGCGTGCACAACGGGGAGTTATCTGGCTTAGATTGTGACTTTACCTGTGATTTTTAATGGGTTCTGTCTGATTTCATTCTCTATTTTCTCTGTAACTCAAGCTTCCGATGTTTTTGTGTTGCAGACATCGGTCATGCCCATTGAAACAGGATTCTCCACTTAAAACCCCAGTTGTGGAATCTGAATCATTTTTTCCCGGGTTCAATGTGTAATTTATTTTATTTTATCCTGATATATATATATAAGGAAATTGTAGGGAAGTAGGGAAAAAAATTAGATGAAAGCGATTGAATTTGTCAATAAGTGACTAAAGTGATCGATTATGTAAATACAAAGAGATCGACTTATGAATTTTACCCTATTCTTTCTGCTTAAATTTCATCATATATTTATTTAAATTCATTTTATTATCTATAATAACATCGATTTACCGTACAATCTGATATATTTGATAGTACATTTGATGGAAAAACTTACAGTACGATATACAACAATGAAATTGCCCATCCCTAGAGAGAACTAACCAAAGCAGTATCTAGTCTGTACATTTGATAGTACATTTTATTATTTCAATTTTGTTCACATTATATTTATTTAGTTTTTGGGTAAGCTTTTTGGTTTGATTTTCATTAAAAAAAAATATTTATTTCCTCAAAAGATTTTTATTCGACTTTTTTTTGTTAGTTTATAACTAGTTTGTATCCAGGACAGTAAAAAACCTATAAAACATTATATCGATTGATGTGCCAAATGGCGTTTTTTTTATGGCACAAAATTTTAGGGTTATATAAAAAATAATTGAACTTAATGAACTTGTACAATTTATTAAGGAAGGTAACATTGTAATTGTACTATCTAAATACTTCGTGGTAACCATAATCAAAATACAGGAATTTTTTTCCATAACATCCGCTATATAAAATAAATGTTTCTTCTAACAAATGGAGAAAACCATACATAAATTCAAATAACCATAGTGTTTTTTTAACAATAATGATCATGAGATGATTTCATATCCATATAAGTTAATAAAAGCAGATTAATCTTAAATTACCTCTTTGATCTCGAACTATGGTCAATTATTTGTTGGAATAGCTTATTTTGTTCTTCCACCATCAACTGCAAACTTGTTTGTATCTGCCATAAAATTTTAATTAAAAAACACAAATTTTTAGCATATGAGTACAAAAAATAAAAATTTCACTTCATAGTAGCTAGCTTCATGGAGGTTTTACGAGCCAAAAAAGGCAAAGAATATTATATTTTAAGTTATAAAAAAACGGTAAAATACAATTTTTTTTATGTTCTAATATTGTGTTAAGTGTTACAGAAATTTTTAGTATATGAGTACAAAAAATAAAAAATTCACTTCATAATAGCTACTAGCTATCTTCATGGAGGTTTTAGTTTTACGAGCCAAAAAAGGCAAAGAATATTATATTTTAAGTTATAAAAAAAAGGGTAAAATACAATTTTTTTATGTTCTAATATTGTGTTAAGTGTTACAGAAATTAGTATTTTAAAAAAAAACAAATAGAGCATGGAACTATGCTATTATAGTTTTCTAGTGAAATTGTGAGGCAATATTGTTGTTGTTGTTATTGACCCTCCAATGAATTTAAATATATAACATGGGTTTTGGATAGAGTTTTGATACCATAAAAAACATGATCCAAATCAAATAGAAATTACAATAATATACAAACTCTCCATATTTCTAATTTTAATTCGGAGTTGTGTAAATATGTCTCTATGTAAATTATGTCTTAAAATGATCAAGTAACATGTTTTTGCTTGTTTACTTACGGGAACATAACAAAACATATTCATAGATTCATGAACTTGTAACCACGATATATATATATATATATATATATATATATATAGAGAGAGAGAGAGAGAGAGATTAAACAAACCTGCAAATGTTCTTGGAGATGTTCTATCACTCCATCTTGCAATCGCATTAACTCCTTGATCCATGAATCGTTATGATGGATATAGCCTTCATCAATGTTCACTACCGCGTGGGATAAAACGGTCGAATTAATATTATTGTATATATATGTGGGTTTGATATAGCGGTGTGTTGAAAATATTAGCTGCTCTATATATTCACCTTGTACATGATCTCGAGCTTGGACCGACACTGATCGATATTTCTGAAAGATTAGTTCCGACAAAGAGTTAATTAGTGCAGATACATCGAAGAAGATCATATATGTAAACTTATGTATGTATGTATGTATGTATCGACCAATGCCTGTAGATGGCTCTTGACATGGAAGATGGATAACTCGTCGACTTCCATAAGCTCTAGAATTGCCTTGGGTGTCGCTTCTGAGAGTTCATGAATCAATATGTAAAGGCATGTGAAATCATTATTCTTAAAGGAACTTCATCAAAATTGATATATATATATATACACACACACATATGATTTTGAGTTATATATATACTTGTCGGACCACCGAGTTGGTTCACACATTCCACAAACTTGTCATGAAGATCAGAAGTCCATTTGATCCGCCTTTTATTGGATGATGTTTTTGTAAGCTCGGAACCAGTTGAACTCCTCATAGATCGGCCGTGACCCTCCTTAGAGAACAAAAAACAAAAACTCAAAATCCAAAATGTTATATTTTCGGTAGAAGAAACAAAGACGAAAAAGGAAAAGATACCATTGAAGAACACTTTGTTTCGACATGGCAAGAATGTCGGCCGGAGAGCGATGCGTATTTATCATCTGACGCCGAATTCTTCGCGCCGCCATCGGCCGAAAATAACTCGGATATGTCAAAACATTTGCAACGAGGCCTCGTGCTCGTGTCGGCGCGGTCCGGACGAGAGCACGAGGGAGGTTTAGCGTGTTTGGTCTTGTCTGAATCATCCGATGCCGAACGTTTGGAAGCGGACGGTGTTCTTCTTCTACTCGCCATCGATCTATCAGAACTTTTTGGATTGGAGTTTGCGTTTTCGAGATGAGACTTTGTGTTGACTGCAAAGATAATGTAAATGCAGTACAAAATCACGCATGGTAGTACAAACCTCGCCATACCCTATGCTTTGAATTTTTTTTTATCACTTGTTTTTTTTGTGTGTATATATATACACACACATATATATATATATATATATATACTTCCGTAACAAAGTTAGATATAGAAGTCTGTAACTAAATCTTGCATAAAAATTATATAAAGTCATCTAACAATTTTACAAAAATATACCAGACTTTGATATTTTTTTAGGAAAAATCGCCAAAAAAATATTATATTCTTCGGATATCGATAAAAAAATCCATATTTTTTTTATTATATAAAAACTCTATACTTATATTTACTCGGAGAAATATATACGTTCTCTTCAAATGTTAGACAAAAAACCCTATACTTTTTTATTAACAAACAAATCCTATACTTATATTTATTCACCGAAATATACTCATACTTTATAAACTCTAACAAATAAATCCCTAAACGCAAACGCAAAAAAATAATATTCATATCCAATATGGGATATTATTTTAATCAGTTCGATTCAGTTCAGTATATATCAGTTAGGTTAGGTTCAGACCGGTTTTTTATCGCATTTTTTAGCGTTTGTGTTTAGGGATTTATATGTTAGAATTTATAAAGTACATGTATATTTCGGTGAATAAAAATATAAGTATAGAGTTTGTTTGGTAATAAAAGAAGTATAGGTTTTTTTTTTGTCTGACATTTGAAGAATACGGGTATATTTCGATGAATAACTATAAATATATAGTTTTTTTTGTAACAAAAAATATAGAGTTTTTTTGTGGATATCTTAAGTGCGTAGGTTTTTTTTTTGTGATTTACTTTTTTTTACGTGATTGCAATTCGAAAAAAGAATATCTCGAAGCAAAATGTCCCATTTATGGATCTACATTGAGTATTTAGAATGACGACATTATGACCTCCCAGTGTTGACAACCATAAAAAAATAATGAAAACATTATCTTATATTGTTGTACTACATATTTTAATTCACCACACATCATAAATCATTAAACGTCCATATAATTACCGTCAAATATTTACTGGGTTTATGTTATGTCCCTAATTTTTTCGTTTTAAAAATTTTAGACGTAAATCCAGCCGAAATTAAGTAGGATTGTGTCACAAATTTAAGACGATAAACTATTTGCTAAGCTTCTTGATGACGATTGAGACTTGTGCAAGTTAAAATGACTTTTTGATAACTTTTATATTAGATTTGATATGAATACCGTTAGATGTATAATATTTTGTTATTAATAACACAATTTATATAACATATTTTTAATTATAATCTATAAATTTATTAATAATAATTTTAAAATATTTTTTATCCATATTCAACCGATTAATATATATAAAACCTACATGCATATATAGAGTCGATGTTACAAATGGGAGCACATTCATTTATTGTATATTGTTTTTAAGAGATTGTATAAATCAATATTAAATTATTATAGATTATCGATTGTATTTACATAATTAATAATTAATCATTATTTTTTATTTATATAATTCAAGTTTTAGAATTTTAATATTAAATTACATATTTTGAATGTAAGTATATTAAAGAATTAAAGTGTATAAATAATTATATAAATCAAATCTGTTTTCCTTATCCAATTAGGATAAGATTTTCGAATCTTATTTAATTAGAATTGGGATTTCTAAAATCATGCAAGAAGATTTATTATCTATTATCAATAAAATATTATAAAAATTAAAAAAGAGAAAAGCATAAAGATTTAACATAACCTGTATTAAATTTCAAGAATCTCGAGGGTAGCAAAGTAGCCAGTTATTTTCTTTTTCTAAGTAATGCTATTACATAAAGCATAGTAAATGTGTAGAAATATAAAATGTGGAAATAAAATAAGACAAATAGAAAAAAATAGAATTACTTTTATTGCTACATCTCTTCTTCTTATTATTTAATTACAATGAAAATGAAATACATATTTATAGAAAAATTAAGAAACATAGTAAAAAAAAATATATACACAATAAAAATAAATCAGATACACAATATTTGGTATAATGATATTGTATCAATTATTATTCTCCATCATATCTCAAATCTTATTTTATACCCATCACATATTCATTTTCTCATTTTAAAAAAATGTATATATCATAAGGAAGTTAAATGAGATTTTATGTATTAAATATTTTTTATAATCCGGAAGTTCACCAAATGTTCTTCTATTGAAAATTAAATGTTCTGAAAATACAATTTTTTTTTTCCAATTGAATATACTCGGGTGAAGAATATCTTGTGGTGAAATGAGGGCTGTAAAATTTTACTAACTCGGCAAGCTATGGGTTGAGACAAAGAGAAAATGCTTATTACTCATATTAAATTAAATTTCCTAAGTCAAATTTTAGTATCTATTGGTAGTTTTTAACCGTACAAAAAGCTTATGTCCTCTTTTGTAGTGCTCTTGCAAAAGTTATGCGCGCATAGGATTCTTGAAAATATTTGTATGAAAATGGAATATTTGTTTCTGATTATCGATTTTCTAATGAGATTTGTACCACATAAATATATATATATATATATATATACATTTGTACTTATATTCAAAGAGAACACATCCGAGCCATCCGATAATATAATGTCCGAACCACCTATCCAAGAATATATATCTATCTAACCAAGTAATCTGATTGCTGTAAAACAACACGAACTTCTCGTGAAGATCTTTGTCATACAGTTAGGGTTTCCTATTGGGTTTTGTTGTTCCACAAATACGTTTACAGAACCTATTGACTTCTATCACAATAATATATATATATATATATATATATATATATGTGTGTGTGTGTGTATATGTATATATATGTGTGCAAGAAAAAGTATACAGAAAAACATATTATACATCTATTAAACTTAAAGGTTTTGTGACAATGTCTAAGTTCATTTTAGTGCCAATTGAACACATTCGTATATTGAATTGTAAAACTCCCAAAAATAAAGTGATCTTTTATAACGGAAATAATATTTATTTTTGAGTAATCGGGAGAGAAATTTTTTCTATGGTAAAAAAACTTATAATATTTTTATTTATATATAGTTTTTACTTTTTAGGATATGATATTTATGTTATATGGTGCTTGAAACTCCAAAGCTAGTTATATTCGCAAGCTCCTAAAACAATATGGCAAATATCATGCAAGAGTAAGCAAGTTTTTGGATAATTTAAATAAAATAAAAGTGATATAAGAGAAATGAAATATTCAATATTCAATTGAAAAGAAAAAGGAAAAAAAAAAAGCAAAAGGGTTCCTCATGCACCATGTCAAAATATCACTAACCATTAGAAAGGTCGATCTCTCCTTTTTTTTTTTTGTAACATCTTTAACTAAAATAATTCACACATCTATATATATATATTAGTCAATCACTTGAGAGCATCTCTCAAGTGTTAGTGTTTGAACCACTTTGAAACTTCTCTTGTTGGAACATCCACTTATGTTCCATCTTCTTCTTTTTTCCCCTTTCTATGCATTTTCTTGATTCCTCAACTTATCTTTGGATCGAAGCTGAGTGTTTCCAAAACTTTCGGGCGTCGAGATTTCAGCCTCTAATTCCTCGGAGAAAGGCCGGGAATCATCGGAATCGGGAAGCGATGATCTGTTTTTTTGGGCCTTGAAAAGGCTCTCCTTTGTTTTCTGTTGTTGTTCCAACATCATTTTCAACTGCTTCCCTTGCTCCTCAATCCTCAGCTGCAAACTCCGTTGAATCTGAATATATATATTCACACATTGAAAATACATATAGTCGAATCTATTAGTTAAATTTCAAATTATAAAATCCGTGTTATTTTAATTTGGTGATGGAATATTATTCCATATCAGAAACATATATACAAGGGTTGGAATTATTATGGGTGTTTCTAATGAAAACCGGAGACCCTAAAGATAAATCACAATCATCCGCTGATTTAAAAGCGAATTTAACGACCAAATATACAAAATATGAAAGGATAGAAGTTGATATATAGCTTGGTAAAAAAATAATAATAATAACCTCTAGTTGTTCATGAAGATGCCTTTGAACATCTAGTTGTAGCTGCAACGCCTCCTTAATTTGCACGCCGCTGCAACCAAAACAAGAAAAACAAAACTATATAAATAAGTTATTATTATTATTATAATTATGTTATTATTATTTTTATAACCTTGGCTTTGCCATGAATCATGATCAATCATCATCATAAACGTTGGATACAAAAGGAAATAGAAACAAACACAAAATAAGCTGAGGAGGAAACTCACGTATGCATCTCTTTCTCACAAGCTTTTTTCTCATACTTTCCTGCAAATATATAAATCCAGCTTTCTAAAAAATAATATGAAATTTTTAAATCATTTTTTCATGACATATATATATATATATATGAGGATGCCAAAGATGCTCAAATCGAACTTGATCTACAAAGGCGCAGTTGACAAGTCTTTTATATGAAACTTCCATATCTGCTTGGCCCTAATGACTCTAGGGGCAAGAACGCTAATTGAAACCTTATGAAAATGTTGAATGTGAAAACCATATTGAAATTCAATTTAGCATCGGCCCACGTATATATGAAAAAATGTAGATATAATCTGAATATCGTCACAAGATTTGAAATGACTGGTATTTTGTTAGTAAATCCCATCACTATGCATCTCAAAATCTATTTCTTTTCTTTTTTTATTGGAAAGATAAGATGTTAAAAATTCGGGAAAAAAAACAATTTAGAAGTAAATTCCATATGACTATGTATATGAGCTACTGTGCTATTAATTAATTAAAATCCGAAGAAATGATTATAGAATATTGAAAATTAGGGGGAGCTTTATAATTTGCTTGGTGTTTTTATTTATCTTGTTTGAATGTTTTTCTAGTCCCTAATCTAAGTTATATTAATCTAAATGATACTTTACAATACACTCACCTTCTTGAGAATCTGGTATGTACTTTGCAATCCGATATTTCTGAAAAACAAATAAATGGAATTTTATTACAAAACAAAATGTATAAGAATCCGATAACATAAACCGATCATATATATGCTTTTGCCAAGATTCTTATACGAAAATAAAATCACCTGCAAGTGGCTTTTCACATGGAAAATCGTAAGTCCTTCAGAATCCATCAACTTCAATATTGCCTTTGGAGTTGCCTCTGCCCAAAAAAATAAAACCTTATCCATTCAAAAACCATGTCTTCTATATATATATATATATATATATATATATATATATTGATCGGCCGGTCCCCGTTTAATTTGATGGGTAAGTGCACAAAAAGGGTAATTAAGAATCATGTTCATGTTCGGTTTCATGGCATGTTTTTTTTTCAAAATGGCTCGACTTACTTTCAGCGCCGCCGAGTCGGTTGACGCACTCCACGAACTTCTCGTGAAGATCTTGGGTCCATCTTATCCGCGTCTTGCTCCCGACAACTTCTCTAGACGACGGCGACGGATTAGGACGATGAAATCTCGGATTAGATTGGTTATATTGGTTGTTTTGTGACGAGAAATTCAGTTGTGTTACGTTAGAACTGTTGATATAGTTCTTGCAAAGTTCCTGAAACCGAGATATGATCAATCGACAAGTAGAAAGATTTGGAAGAAAGAGAGAAAACCCCGAAAAAGGATTGAATGAACGAGTTCTAATTACTTGTGGGTGGTCTTGATTTGCTTCGAAAGAGACTGAATACGAGCCGGGCGAAGCATTTGGCTTGAAGAACTGACTCGAAGGCGGGTGTGATGACGATGATTTCACGAGGGATTGAAGAGTGTTACTTGATTCGGATTGGTCCAATGAAAAGCCTTGAGCTTCTGAGCATGGCGGCTGATGATGATGATACGCATGAAATGATGAAACGTAGGGTTTTGACGATGAACACTGCACGGAGAACGACGGGTTGGCGGCGGTTGTGCAATCGTACGGAGGAAAACCCGAGAAGGGTTCCGACCAATTCCCCGATGGTTGTTGGCTGTAATGGCTCTGGCTCACGTTCATGTCTTGCACACCAAACTGCGTTTGCAACAGCGGTTGCGGCTGCGTTTGCGGTTGAATCCTGCCTTCGGACGAAGCATGAGAGAATTCAAAGTTGATGTTTTCCATCAATGGCGGCCAAACAAGAGAAAACCCGATTACCCGAATTCGAAAATGGCAGCTTTTGCATCACAGAAACCTACGATCCGATCGAGAAACCGAATCAAGATTACAAAAGATCTGTAAGGAGACGATAGAAATCTGTAAGGAGTGTGGCGATAAAACCTTTAGCTTTTGATATTCTTCCAAAGTCTTCAGGTGCAAGGGATGAGTCTTTTGATATAAGGCAAAATGCCTCTCCTTTTGATTATTCTCCAAAAATAGGAGTGCGCATTTTTTAATTATCAAATTGACATAATTGCAAAAGTCCAAATACCCATTATTTTATTTTAAATTTTAATATATATATATATATATAAAGATGCATAACGTTTTCGATGAATTAATTGCATAAAAAAAAACTCCCACTTGGTCAGACCATGTCTTCTTTCATTTGTAGAAACGGCGAGAAAGTTCTTGTTACGGAAATAGAAAGATAGCACGGAAATTGGGCACATCATTTAAAATCAAAACTCGATGGATTTTTATATTTTGTTGGGCGCATACAAATGGATAATTTGATTCCTATATCCGAAATTAATCGAATCATGTCTCATAATATATGATACACGTTTAACCTAATCTAAAAATGAATTAATTCTCACTATTTTAAATCTAAATTAATACGACTTAAATCCAATATAAAAATAATCTAGATAGTTTTTTTTTACAAAAATAAATGTTTTTAATAAAAATTGAATCAAATTCAAACTTCAATCAAACCGAAAATCTATTTAACAATAAAATATTTGCATTATGTAATTTAAAATCGAAACATAAATGAAATCCTAGATGTAGTGAAATAAAATTTATCTCTACGAAGTTATATTTGTGTGTTACTATAGACTCCATTTATAATTAATTTTTTTTGGATCCACTACTATATATATAATTTTGTATTTTTTTTTTTCAACCCAAGATTTGGGAGAATATATTTTTGTGGGCATCTTTACATAATAATAATGAAATAATAGTTAAAGATTCTGGCATAAATTCATAGTCTAAAAAAGACCTCTCGAATTATTCTACGGATAGGACAATGGATAAAAACTGCTTTCATCCTCCAAAAGACTTGTTTGGTCCAAAGCAACTTATAATCCCCTTTTCCATTTTTTTTATATATATATTTTTTAATAAAATGGCCAAATTTTTTTTCCCAAATCAAAGTAAAAAATAAAAAGTTCTCTCTCAATATATATAAATTCCATTGCCAAAAAATAAATAAATAAATTTAGCTTATAGGTACGACCAAACAGAGAGGTATAGAGCAGTATCAAATCTAATTCGATATGCTAATTAATAATAAAACTCGTCCAATATTTAATTCGAATCTTTAATCCTTATTAATCAATTGTTAAATAACTTGCATATTACTTGGCAATTTCTTCGTATGCGTAATACGGGAAAACATTGGATTGGCATTTTAAATCACTCGTATTTACATGTTACGCCTTTTCCATTAATTATCATTGAAAAAAAGATAATTTCTCACACTTTTATTCCCCAATTTAAAAGGATAATGATCCTCTTCCTCTCTATCATAAATAATTCATTAGGATCATGTTTCAACGTTAATTATTTAAGTTTAAATTAAATATAAAATAACTGGATGAGAGCAAAACATCTTTACAAATAAATTATTTTTAATAAAATAAAAATAAAAATATGAAGAAAAATGAAATTTGATAATTGATATTTTTCATTATATATTATAAAAATTGAAGACATAAAATCTGATTAAAAATAAATTGAATTCAAGAATTAAAAAGCTCACCTATTCTTGATCATGCATTAGAATTAAGTTTTCTCCCACTAGATGAAATTAGGTGGTGTTATTAGATTGTAATTAAAATATGATAATAATAAAAATAAGTATTTGAATTAACAGTGGACCACTATTAGTTATTATCAATATTATTTTTAATCGGGAAAGCAACAGTGGAACAACTGTAAGATTCCCAAACGTGTTAAAATAATGCCCAATTCTGTTCTTACAAGCGGCTCACAAACGGTCATGCATTATTACTTACTGTACACACGGTCAAACATAATTTCTTTTAAGTTTATTTTTACTTATTATTATGTTTTATTAAATCTTTTAAATCTTCGGTCTGATCAAACTAGGTTCCGGCCCGTCCAGATTACCAGTTTGGCTCGTCCCGAGATTGGTACTTACCCGGTCATGTCGTTTGGTTCGTATGGTCCGATTCGAACCGAGTTTAGTAATACCTTGGTTAAATTTAGGTTTTAAGTTTAGACCGAGTCGGTCCAATTTCTGAATCGTTTAACCCATTTATATTTTTTTTTATTGATTTATTTATTTATTATTATTATTATTATTATTTTAATCATGATTATTATTATTATTATTATTCTTTTGACAGTACGGGTTGGTTCAATTTCTGAACCGTCTAATCATTTTCTTTGATTTATTTATTTATTTATTATTTTTATTTATGTTAAAAATATTTTTTTTTTCTTCGTTTTTTTTTTGGATCGGGTCGGTCCGGATTCAGACCGTCTGGTCCAGAATTCATCATTCATTATTATTATTATTATTTTATCTTATATTTAAATTTTCGCGTTGATTTATTTGAAACCTCAGTCGGGACGGTGTGGGACCCGTCCGACTCGGTCCAGACTTTGAACGTTATTAAAATATTTAAATCAACACAATAATTCATGCATATAGAACAACCATAAATATTCCACGAATACGAATCAATCAACAATTTTACACATATACACACAAACTCCGAAGATAATAAAAATAGAAATTTTGAATCACATACAAATTCACTCACAGAATTATGTCGGCCGATTTTCCCAATAGTATTATCCACCGGAGTTAGTCGAAAACCTCCCTCTTAATTTTTAACAATCACTATTTTTTTTTATTTTTTATAATTATATATATATATATATATATATATATATTTTTTCCTATATTAATTATTCAGACGAACATTGAATTTATACTTATTTTTATTTTCAATTATATTTTATATAAGATGTCTAGGGACACATGGCAGTCATGTAAAATTTTTCGGTTCTTGTTTTTTTTTATATGTATAGATAATAAATTCTGTCATTTTTATTTATGTTAAATTAATATGATCGACATTTGATTTCACATATCGAGATATGAAATTTATTGTTTTTTTTTTGTCATCGTAGTAGACAATTTCTTTTGTCGCGTAGTAGACAAAAAATATTTAGCCTGTCTTTGTTTATTTTTTTAAAATTTATTTAATCTGTCTTTGTTAAGACATTATTATATTATATTATATCAAATTTAAGTTTTGAGAATTTAAAGCAAAAAATAAAATATGCAAATTGCTCCTATTTTCTCATAAAAAAAACTCTCCCCTCCTGTATCCACACAAACTATTGCAATTTTCTGCATGGACGTTAAATGAAAATAAATTTACATTTAAGTATATGTAATTTTTTGTGTATATTTTCTAAATATCAGTTTTAAGCGTGTTTCGTAAATATCAGTCACAGATCTAGACAAAAGTTTTTTTTATAGAAATATTAAATGAGATTGATTTTTTTTTATCAAGTATAGAAATCGTAATCTTACATGCCATAATCCTTTCACAAAAATGTAATTCTCAAATGCGACGTATTTCATTTTTTGTGTAGAAGCATTTCTGAATTCTGAGTTCAATTTAATGCCAAACCTTTAAAAATAATATTTTGATAGCCACAAAAATAAAATAAAAAAAGTATAAAACTGATATTTTGTTCAGCAGATGAAACCGCCCTAGGGCTGACACTGTACACACACACACACACACACACACATATATATATATATATATATATGGTATGTTTAATATTTCTATGCATTATAATCTATTGGCTTATGTTTAATCTATGATAATTGAAATTCAGAATTATGGTATGGTGTTGGTGACGATGATAAATAATATAATATTGGACCAGTTGGGCCAGGTTGCTGTCGGAACAAAAATTATTCTTCTAATGGGCCTGTCGAGGTAGTAATGGGCCGAGAAGGTGTTGAAACCCAAAACGCGTCGTTTCGTCTTATAAGGAATGCCTCTTCCTTGTTTCAGACCACACCACTTTCTCTCTCCTCCGACCCCGAAACCCCGTTCATCGTCGCTCTCAATCGTTCTATCTGCCCAGGGGAAATCTTATAAACAGAGCCCTTTCGCTTTCCCTAGATCATTTCTCTCGAGAGGGTAAAAAAAAGAACTGTCTTTTCAGTCCGATTCTTCAAATTTCTCTTGCCAATTATTGATTCCGCTGTTTCTTCCCTCACGTCGACCCCGCATTTGCCTTTATTGCTTGTTCGTTTCCGCAGCGCATCACGGCTCGAGCTTCGATTCGATTTTTAGGGTTTTTCGTTTCTGAATCTGCGGAGAAAGAAAACCCACGAAACCCTTTTGTGGTTCTTTATCAGGATTCTTGAAACAGAGGTACGTCGCTCTTTTTCGCCCTTTCATTTATCGTTCGAGCAATTATTGCTTCTGCGTTTGATTGATGTACCGAGTGTTGTTTATTGCGTTCATGGTGAGATCTGGTAGATTAGGATTTTGGGTTATATAAATGGGCTACGCGTAACTTGAGGGTTCGTATTTGTCATGGAACTTGTATCGAGGGTTTTAGAAATGGTTCACCCAGATTAGGGTTTAGGGTTTCAATCCAGGCGTAGCTTTTCTAGTTTATGGAATTGGCGAAAGTCTTATATTCGTGATGGAACCCCGAGAAATAGTTCTACGGAATTAGGGTTTTCTCTGTGCCATGTCAACGGAATTAAGGTTTTCTGGAATGCACTGGGAAGGTAACTTGGTTGGAGTTTTTATTTTCCGTTCTGTTATGTTGTTGTTATCGTCGTAATGAATTCTTCTTTTTTTTTTTCCTGTCTCGAAGCTTTCCCGTTGTGTATTTTAAAAATGTTGGAGCAAACATTTTGAACTCTTGTAATGTATAAGTAGCACCTACAGTTTTGGAAGGAGATTTCTTAGTTATCATTTGCTCTATCATCTTCGAATCGGGAAGAATTCCTTACCGTTTTTCTCAAAAAGCTTTGAGGGAAAATGTTAAAGATTGTTCTCTATACTCAAAGGCATGCGCTTTCAAGTGATTCACCACTAAAATCTATTTGAATGTATCAATTTTTGATTTATCAATGCAATTGTGTTGACTGCAGATATTGACGGCAACTCTTTTTCTCATGACAGTAAAGGTTTAAGAAGGGGGCGCTTCATTTAGGATGGGCAGTCTATTCTAGGTTTTTGCATGTTGTCTAAATACACAGTGACATGGAGACGCAAATTCATCTACTTGAGCAGGAAGCTTATTGTGCTGTATTAAGGGCTTTTAAAGCTCAATCTGATGCAATTTCTTGGGTAGTCCCTTTTTCTTTTTGGTTGGTTAAATTATAGAGGGTTTTGATCAATGCCATGACCGACGCCCTGACTTACATGATTCTGTGATGGTTGTACTTAGGACAAAGAGAGCTTGATAACAGAACTGCGTAAAGAATTGAGGGTCTCTGATGATGAACACAGAGAGCTGCTGAACAAGGTCCATAATGACGATATCATCCGAAGGATAAGGTCGGAAAGCCTATTTGCAACAATGAAGAAAATGATAAGCTTTCCATGTGATTCCGTCTCTGCATGCTGACTAATACGCTGTACGATGGAATGCATTCAGGGATTGGAGACAGGGAGGTGGAGCCCAGGTTGCCAGACACATACCTACTCATTCTATTGATGTTCTTCCCAGTCCTACTTTCTCAGCTTCCCGGAAAAAACAGAAAACTTTCCAGTCTGTAAGGCTTCTGGTTCTTTGGTCATAGCTGTGCAGTAGACTTGTATTAGCATTGTTTTGTTGTTGCTTCTGTATTTTGATCTGATCTATCAATTGGTGATGCATGCAGTACCCATCAATCGGTTCCACTGGAAATAGGTCATTCAATAATCGTATTGTATCTGGTGCCATTTCGGCAAATGAACCCGCTGAAGCACTTGTTGGTAGAAAGGTATGGACAAAATGGCCGGCAGACAACAACTTCTATGAAGCAGTAATTACCCAATACAACGCGGATGAGGTATGTTTTGTCGATGGAAGCCTAAATTCAAGAACGAGTCGATGAGAATACGTATATGTTGTTCATATGGACACACACAGAGATATATATGTATATCTCACTTCATCTTCTTCTATAGAGCTATTTGCATGTGCTATCAGTTGTTTTGACTTCTAAAGTTTGACCAAAATTAATAGTTTAGTTGGGAGGGAAAACATATAGCGTTTTTTCCGCCATCTTCACGCTGCCCCTCTTGATGACTAATACATATTATTAGCTGCACAACACGGTAATTGGTTTCTTTGTTGCATTTTGTTTATTGAAAATGTCTCAAGCCTCTTACAATTTATGCATTCATTGTTTCTTTGATAGGATCGGCATGCTCTGGTGTATGATATAGACACAGAAAGTGAGACGTGGGAGTGGGTTGATCTTAAAGAGGTAAACTTGATGCTAAATTGATTGGTCTTGTCCTGTTCCATTATTTGTCCTGGCAAAACAAAGTCATCTCTTTGGTGAATTCGATAGCTTTCAGTTAGCTCAGAAGGAGTCTGTGGAGTAAGTTTCCCGAGGATGATTTCGAAAGTCTAACTTCGTACCATTTCTACAGAAGCTTCTTATGGAGATACTCAAGGGTCTGGAGTGCATTTGATGCTCTCTTTTGATAAGCTTTAGCTGATATCTATAGCATTTTATTGCAGATTCCGCAGGAGGATATCAGATGGGACAAGGAGGATATCGGGGCTACTTTTAACATGGGGCATGGCAGTGGACCTATCCGGGGGAGTCGGAGAACTCTAAACTACAGTGGTTTAGCCCCAACCGTCGGTCGAGGGAGAGTACCCGCAAAAAGCCAGCCTAGGAGAGAACGAAATTATCCATCACAGAATGGCGGAGGAACCAAGTTTTCTGACGATATCGAGTTGTTCAACACCGATGCCCTTGTGAAGGAGGTATCTATCGATGCTCTTATATCCATTATTGTGAAAGCTTTTCTTTTTATTCGCTAATGTCGGTTTTTGTTAGGTGGAGAGGGTCTTTGAAACTACTCGTCCTGACCCGCTGGAGCTCGATAAGGCCAAGAAAATGCTTAAGGTCATATGTTACTTTTGGTTAGATTAGATGCCTTCAATGAAAAAGGATATATAGTTAGGGTGAGGGTCATTAACTAATACTCTGGAAATCAAATCCCCACTGGGTGTGATTGCAGGAACATGAACAAGCCCTTATTGCAGCCATTGCAAGGCTTGCAGATGCCTCTGATGGAGAAAGTGGTAATGAAAACCAACAGACATATGCTTGTCCCGCGATTCGATCAAAAACAGTGGATGAAAACTTCTTGTTATTGTTATTATTATTGAATCTTGGGGACAAATTGTGGGCCAGCTTCATTCATGCTGTTAAAATGTAGCTTGTTCTATATAAAAGCGTTGACAAACTGCAGAAAAACAGACATTGTGTACAATCTTTGTTTCATGTTTTTGTCATTTGTCTGTCTAAACGTCTTTCCTCTCTGATAAATCAGATGGAGAGCAACCGTACTCGCGTGAGCTGTCAATGATGCCACAGGGATGACATCCAGCTAGGGGACCGAACCTGAGGACTTGGCAAGAAGATGTCCTTGTCTTTTTTTGTGTTATGCTCTCTTCTTTTGCATCCCTCCGGCTCGTAGGATTATCCAACACAATGTCTTGTTTGTTTGGCTTTTTGCTGGGGCAAGATGGAAGACAATTGCTTTTGTTAGTTGTGCTTTCAAATGTATTGAAAACAAAAAAAAAATGTCTAGGACTTTGCTCTGTAGGATTTTTCCTTGTAAACATGATAATTCTTTATAAGTTCAAGAACCACTACCTTTGACCATGTCAATGATGTCCATCCAGCACCACAATGTGATGATCAGACAGACCTGTGATCGAAACGTTTATCATCAGTTATCAAGTTCATGTTCATGTTCATGTTCATGTTCATGTTCATGTTCATGTTCACGTTCCTGTTTGTCTAATGCTTGGATATCAAACAGAAGCAAATATCGACGACAAAATCCAATTCTGCGTACAACCCATAACCTCGACTATACAGGCATAGAGAAACCTAGAACGGACATGAACACCTAACCTAAGTATCTTGAAAGGCTTTTTAAACACAATACCAAAAACCATTGTGTGCTTCTGTTCAAGTATTAGTCAAGTGCTGATGATTGAAAGTGAGATCCCATATATGATACCTGTTACGTGCGGCTATGATTCATTGAATCAGCAGGACGGCTGCAACGCTCGAGAATACAAGCTAGATGTCAATGCAGACCCTGAAAACACACTTTGAGGCAATCAGCAAATGGTGACTGATACCGATAACTGGGGAAAAAGAAAACTTCGGAAAATGATAGATATACCATAAACATGATTCATACAATCCATCACAAAATAAGCTAAATTTGCTATTCAACTTTAGGTTTTGCACTTGAAGTCTCTAAATCCAAAGCTAAAGCTAACCTCTTGGCTTCAGAGCCCCACCAAGAACACAATATGCGGGCAATAGTTTTCATCAAAGGAAAAACACCTAAGAACCCAAATTTCCAACAAGTTTTAATAAACAAAACATATCACAAGATGCATACAAGAAACATTACCTTCATTGCAGGCGAGGCGACACGGTTCATTCCTTCATCCACAGTGATCCTGCAATTTAGAAGATTCACTGATTGTGGGTTACTGAATCAACTCCAAAACATCAGGCGTGCCAGAGAGAAGGGAAAAAAATAAGATCTTCGCACCATCTTGGTGCTATTTTTGTAACATGATTTGACCCCCCAAACTCTCGGCAGCAACAAATCGAACGAAGAGCAATAATTCTCAAAACAAGAAATCAGCGAAACGATCAAAGCCAACCAACTCAGTTGCGATTTTACACGCTGAATCGGATTCAAAGTTGACAGATTCATGTGGTACAGAACTTACACCAGAACACACAGCAAAACATAGAGCAGATTCCTACGAAAAACAAAATCGGTGGGGCCTAGAAATCAACGATCAGGGACACGTCAAAATCGAATGAAAGAGCGATGAAAAACACAGAAACCCTAGTTCCAGTGGGGGACAAAGCTACCATTGAATTGATCATACCTTCAAACGAAGACAAGGTAGGGATCGGAATCGGCTTCGGCGAACCCATCTGAATCATCGATCGGGCCTTTGCAACATATAGAAGAACAACTGAAAATCACCAGCAGTTCTGGGGAATTCGGATTTTGGGTATTTGGAGAAGATCACCATTGAAGGAGAACTGGATTTGGAGATGATCGTCGCCGGCGAGAACGGAGGATGTAACCGAGAGAGAGAGAGAGGGA